CAATCCCCTCTGGCTCCCGGCGATTGTTGTGGCGCGGTCTCGTCTCTGACAACTGTGACATTGAACTTCTTTGGCTTCTTGTGTCCAAAATGAGTCCAATAATTAATCCCATCCAAGAATTTAGCCAAATGAGAGCTCCATCCCTTGATAATATCTCTCAAATCAGACAGTGATATGTAATTTATCATGCTGTCATATACTATTATCTTCAGGGATGGGAGCTGAAGTTGGACGAGAAGCCAATGATGACGTTCCAAAACAGGGATAAACACCTGCAATCGTAAGTAATAATTTATTTATTTGCGCACTTATTTATGAACACCTTTAAAAAATTTAAAAAATAAACACTAACCTTATCGACCTCCCACCATACAGGATAAAGTTTAGCTTGTCCATTGCTCAACGAAAATGATTCATCTCGTTGATTCTTCAAGTGAACTGCGTGAAAAATCGCCGGCATTATTGTATATCGTGAATTTTTTTTATTTTTCCTAAGCTTTCTTATTATTAGAAGACGTGACACCCACGCATCGATATGCTGTTTTACAAAAAAAGACATATATTAGTGAATTACATTAATTTTTAAAAAAATTAATCAAAATCATATATAAGACAAATATAAGACTTACCTCCCCATCGAAATAGCCACTGTCTTCAACCCCTAATAACACACCCCACCAAGACCGATTAAGCAACAAATACATCTCATCGTTGAGTTTGCTTATGTCAGTGTAACACCCTTGGCTCCGCTCATGTAGATAAAAATCAACTGCGGTATTAGCCCAAAGGGTATTATCCAGAATTGTTTCCGGTAATTGTCTCCTCTCCACTTCAGATACCAGAAGGGTACTAGTCGGTAACTCATACGAGAGCCAACTCTCATCCATCATGTCCGGCAACGGTGGGGGTTTCTCAATAATTCGATATATTACCCCATGTGAATCGGGCTCTGGAATGGTGGGAGGGACCTCTTCAACGATGACAGTGGCCTCTTGAACGGTGGGGGGGACTCTTGAGAGATGATAGGGGCCTCTTGAACGATTGGAGGGGACTCTTGAGGGATGACAGGTGAGTCGGGTTTCTTCTTGCGGAGTCTTCGCACCATTGGGGTGAACGGAGACGTAATAGCATGTGCACGACGTCTGATGCGTGAACTCCGTCGTGCAAGGAAAACCCGACGTAAAGCATCCACCTTATCGGGCCGCTAAAAAAAATTAATACATAAATCAGTAAATAAACAGACATGATATTAAACAAAGACAAATATCTTTCAAACTTGCATTGTATTCACCCAAGTCATTATTCTATCATAGTTCACAAAATGCATCAGATAACATTCCAGAAGTAAGCACTTATATAAACATTTAAAAGCACAACATATATAAACATTCCAGAAGAAGAATATTTTACTTTCGCAACACGAAACTTACTTTCGCAACGCGAAAATGACTATCGCAACGCGGAAATGGCTATCGCAACACAAAATGGCTATCGCAATGCGAAATGAAAATCGCAACGACAAAATCGCAATGCAAAATGAAAATGCGATTTTCATTTCGCATTGCGATAGCCATTTCCGCGTTGCGATAGTCATTTCGTGTTGCGAAAGTAAACTATTCTTCTTTTACAAATTGAAACTTGAATGGATTGCATTACTTCAACCAAAAGACAAAAACAAAACCAAAAACAAATACTAACAAAAATAGTTTAGCAGTATTGGCAGCAACCGAATGAATTTATTAAGCAATCTAAGTGAAATGGTTAATCTAAGTGAAATTACGAGTAAATTTATCATCAAGTTAAATATGAAAAATCTTAAACTTACCTCGTTGCGTAGAGTATGAACCTCATTCTGCAACGATGCTACCATCTCACGTAGAGCGGCTACCTCACCGCGTAAAGTAGACACATCAACACGCCACGCACCATCGTCTTTGCGTAAAGTACCGACCTCCTCACGCAAGGCATTGACCTCATCACGTAACTCCCCTAACTCATCCCGTGGAGGTGGAGGTGGAGAACAGGGAGATATATATCGTGGCATCTTTGTCGGTCACCTATCTTGCGGTGATGGTGGAGAAGAGGCTCGATGATGTGACAGAATAGGTGATGGCTGTCGTTGTGGAGGTGTATAGTCGGGTCGATCAGGTGATGGCTCTGGGTGAGGTGATAGCTCTGGGTGAGGTGATGGCTCCCGAAGTGGAGGTTGCTCATCATCCGTGCTATCAAAAAAACGCTTACTAGCTTGCCACCAATCAGTGGCAAGCTCAGCTTCCGTGGTGTCAGCCTCTGTAATGGAGTGTTGGCCTCCTAACAATATAAAAGCTCAAACAAAGTTAAACGTGTACTAGTAATAACTTGTTTATAAACATATGGTAGTATTTATGTTAGCTTACATTATTTATTGTCGTATACCGTAGTAAATCTTCCCATTGCAAGGTCCGTTTCCTCTTCCAGGAAATATCCCTGGGAATATCATTTGAAGTTTTTATTGCATATGTCTTCATGGCGGGAAAGGCCTCAAATATCCAAATCTACAAACAATATAATAACAAACATTAGTAATTGTTAAATAATTACTTATAATTTCGGAAACATTATATAAAAATTCTTACCTTAAAGGCCCAAATAAAGCCTGTCAAAGTGTATTTAGAACCATCGCCATGCAAACTTTTTCGATCATCCAAGGCAGACGATAACTTATTTCATGTAGCTTTCCATAAATGCGAGCCCCACGGAAACAGGTTCCACGCATTTAGGTCTTCTACCAATTTGATTAGATCATTCGGAATAGGTTGTCTGGCCTCTCTGCCTAAAAAGTCGGCATGCAAAAGTATTAGAAGGCATACTCGGACAACATCGACGTCATCCATCCGAGTAAAACCATCTTTCTTATTCAATAATCTCATCAGGTCTTCCACGTGTAGATTCGGCCTCTCCAGCTCAGGAAAAACCCGGGATAACCATGATGGGCGGGTAATGTGTCTAGTGTACCGACCTACATCATCGTGTCTGAAGCGTAGACCGGTGATTAAGCAAAACTCCTCCCGCCCAAAACACGTATACGCCGGTGGAAAATCAAACCATATCTCTTCATCACGACGTTGTATAGTATCTGGTAGATCGCTAGTCATGGTTTGAAGAAACAAGTGTGTCAACATCGCATCTCTATCGGGATGTTGTACTTTCAGCCATGGCCCGAAGCAAGTATCCTCAAACATTTTTCTTTGTGCAGGTGAAAGCTTCGACGCAATTGTTTTGGCCAGGCTGACTTTATTTCTTAAGGTCAATTGAGCCGAATAAAAGTTCTACAAAAACAATAAACATACTAAGTTAGATATACCAAAAACTACACTGTGAAGATATACCAAAAACAATAATAAACATAAAGAGTAGTAGTTTATTCTTCAAACTTAAATTTGCAACACTGTGAATTTCGTATTTGTCTTTGTTTTTTGGTTGAAGTAATGCAATTCATTCAAGTTTCAATTTGCAGAAGAAGAATAGTTTCTGAAAATGAAAATCGCAACACGAAAATGACTATCGCAACGCGAATTTGACTACCGCAACGCGAAACTAAAATCGCGTTGCGATTTTCATTTCGCGTTGCGGTTCTCGGTTGATTTAATAAGCAATCTAAGTGAAATGGTTAATATATTATTGAAATTACCAGTAAACTTATCATCAATTTCAATATGAAAAACATAATAATAATGCAAAAATTTCAAAAAGAAAATAATTAAAAAAACTAACCCTCGGTAGTTGATTTGGTTGATTTTCCATTTCTGATTGTGAGGGTGGCTTTGAGAGATGGAGATAGACAGATTTCGCCGGAGATGGGGACGGATTTCGTCGGAGATGGGTGAGAGAGTGAGAGATGGAGATGGGACTGAGTTGTGATTTTAGGTTTTAGGTTATGAGTTGCGATTACGGGATATACTGTGGACGGTTCAGTGTTCCAATATATTAATATTCGTGTTTGGAATTTGAAAATAAAATACGCGTTGCGATACTAATGGCGCTTTGAAAATCGCATTGCGATTATGTATTATCTCGTTGCGAAAGTCAGTATCGCGTTGCGAAAGTAAGTATCGCGTTGCAAAATTCAGTATCGTGTTGCGATTTTGTATTATCGCGTTGCGATAGTCAGTATCGCATTGCGATTTTCCCAATTCGCGTTGCGATTTACTTATTCGCATTGCGAATTGGAAAAATCGCAACGCGAAATTGGAAAATCGCATTGCGATAGTCATAATCGCGTTGCGAATCTGGAAACTGATTTGCGATAATGGAGATCGTGTTGCGAATTAGCGATCGCATTGCGATTTTGTTGGTCATTTTGGCAAATCCGGAAAAAGTTGGTTAAAATCGTATATTATATGGGATTTTTGGTCACTGAGGTTATTTTCTCTATTACAAATTGTAAAATATTTATATATTTTCTTTAAAAAATTAAATTCATAATATTTATATAATTTTTTTTACAAAATTAAAAATATAAAAAAGGTTCACTGAAAGAGTAAAAAAAAATTTAACCCCTGAACTTCATATAAAATTTTAATTATAGACTTTTTTTTGTAAATCTAAAATAATTTAAGGATAAATTTGTAATTTAACCTTCGTAGAATTTTTATTATTCAATGACAGAAGAATGATATTTTTGAAAAAAAAATAAAAATTTAAGGGCATTTTAGTCCAAAACGCCGGTAATGTTACAATACCTAAGGGAAGGGAGGTAATGACATTCCCGATAATATACCCAAAACCTCTACTATTGGTAATAAAATATTATCGGGAATGAGATTCCCGACCAACCAAACATGGGAATGTGAGATTCCCATCACAATCCTTGAACCAAACATCCCTTAGGTTTAAGGTGTTTCCGTTTTTAAAAGCTCGCTAGGGTTTTATAAATTTCAGCAAACCCATCATCGTCTAAAAGCCTTCTTTCTCCAGTTTTCAGCATTTTAGGCTTGCCACGCAAGAAAAGAGCCATTGAGATGGAAAACAACCAAGTTTCAAGCCAGGACATTCTTGAACTAATCCTCAGTAAAGTTCCCTTGAAACCTCGCACAAGACTCAAGTGCGTATCAAGAGCTTGGATCGATGTGATCACCGATCTCCGCCACACACATCCTCCGACCACCGTCTCCGGCCTAGTTTTCTCTTTCAAGAAACCTTCATCAAGCAACCCGATTTACCAGCTGAATTTGCTTGAAGTCGTCCAAGACCAAAGCTTGAGCTGCTTTATACACACTTCTCTCACGCATGATCTTCCTTGGTTGATTGATTCCTGCAACGGTTTGCTTCTGTTCGGTACAAAAGATGGGATTTCTTTAACCTATCTTGTTTCCAGTCCCCTGAGTAATCAATGGCTTAAACTCCCTCCACCTGGCCATGGTTTATCACTCCCAGTTTCTGCAAGTCTAGCCTTTGACGGGTTCAACAGCAACACTTTAAGGTGATATGTCAGTTCTAGGAAGATGCCGATATCAAGAACGGGACGCTCAAGTATCAGATTTTCTCGTCACAAGCTTGGCAATGGAGGGAATATAATGGAACAATACCCAATTCGGCTATATGCTTTAGCGAAGATTTCAACAGCGAAGAATGGTATTGCCCGAGTAAGGGACGAATGTATTGGATTTGGAGCCTTTATTTGTTGGTTTTCAATGAAAACAAACCATCTTTCGAGCTGATGGAGTTACCATGGTATTAAATTACGGCTGCAACGTAGTGTAACGGCCGCATTGTAACAGTTTTGAAGGTCACCGTGACGCAATATTAAGACTACACAACCGTTCGTGACAGCCACAACATATTAAAAATCACGCGATCGACAACCGCAATACGTTACATAAGAAACCGCTATTTTATACTGTGGGAGTTACCGAAGACGAAGAAGAAGCCTCGTTTAATGTCTTTGTATTGTGGGAAGCGTTTGTGGGAATCCGAAGATCACCTTCACTACTGTGATTCAACTTACGTCGGATTCTATATATGGGAACACATGGAAATCAATAACAGAAATGGTTTCAGGTTGATGTGGCGGCTCAAGAACTACATTCGAATGGATGAATTGGTGTCGAGAAACTACTATTCAGATGATGTGGCGTTTTTTATCTCGCCTGTTACTGTTAAGCCTTGTGGTTTTAATGAAGATTTGCAGGTTTTGTATTTTCAGCTGCCTGGAATCATTGCTGCTTACAGTTTTGAGACGAGGAAAGTAGTGAAAGTACTGTTTGATGGTACGGTAGGTCAGAGTTCCCATGACAATTTCTTTCCCTTTTTGTTCAACGCTGTTGATTTGCATGGATGGGGTCTTTGAGATTGTCACTGCCATGGCCGACCATGTTGGAAATCGACACGACTTCTTTTTCTGCTGGGAGAATCAAGTTTCTTCCATGTCTGAAACTATGTTAGGCAAAAATGAATAGTGGGATCAACATAGATTAGCATTTGACGAATCTAATCTTCATGGTATGTTTTCCTCTCAAGTGTTTTACAGGACAAGAGGAGTTTGCCATTTTCTTGGTACAAATTGAGCATCTTGCATTGGAGTTTTTTGATTTTAGAGGTGATTTGCAGATACTGTTTACATCAGGATTCATCCAAACGATGATATATATAGCTGAGAAGGTGGAAGCTTAGGGAATACAGAGTCCAATTGTTCAGAAAATGCGATGCTGTAGTTCTTCTCAATCTTCATATACGTTGTGTACTTGTGTTTCAGATTTTGATCGTCTTTGATCCTTCTCAAACTATTGCAATTTTGTCATGTATCATTGTCAAATAATGATGCTTGCATTGAAATTATAAAATGAAGAGATTTGGAGAAAAATGAAGCACTCCTCCTTCATCGAAACATAAATTAGACCCCTAATAACGAAAAATTATTAGATAAACTCAATTCATCATGATATTTGTGGTCTCGATCAATAACATTTTTTATTTTATTTTTTATCTTCACCTCTTTTCTACATGTAAATAAGGAACGAGCAGCTTATAAGAAGTTATTTTAAAATTAATGGATGTGATTTACTGGACCATGAATGACGTGGTAAGTCACGTCCATAACATAATTTCTCTCAAATAACAAATATTGTAAAAAATGAATCATAAGAACAAGTAAAACTAGATAAATTTGTAAGAACTGAATAACCTAGGTGGTAAAGGAATTATTATTTTTTCTTAAGGTCTCGAGTTTGAACACTAGGAATGTCACGGGTGTAGGCATCCAGAGTCTTATTAAATACATCAAAGTTTAAACATAAACGTCAAGAAATTTTATTAAACAATCACCTACTCACACAAAACAAGTATGATTCTCTTTTAAGATGGTACATGTTAGATTTTAACCTCTTGTATCTTGTCAAAAATAGTAAAATAATAATTAAGTGGAAAGTGAAAAAATAATTTTAAAATGTCACATCAAATCATTGTTAATTTTTTAATGGTGAGTAACAAAAAGAAACAAAATGTTTTTGAAGAAAAAATAATTGGATGACAATGTTGATACGAAAAATGCAGTAGATCTTTATACTTCTTCTTCATCTTGTCAATTTTCATCTCATTATTCTCTCCTTCAAATTTCCTCCTCTCCTTATGTTCATCAAGTATTAACTTTATGGTCTCCTGTACTCACTCCTCATCTGAAGACGAACTTGAATCTGAATCATTGAAGTCCAAGTCGTTAGACCTAAAGTGATCGTTCAAAAAATTAAAATAATTTTTTCCATGTATACATGATTTGATTCTCAAATTTTTTTTCTTTCTCACTTCTCATATAAACCGTATCAATTAACCTCATTCATATTTATACAAAAAAAATTATCTATATGACCGTTGGAACTCGTCACTCTCAATTGATGAGTTCCATATCAATTTAAAACCTGCTAGTTGCCCAATGGCTATAATCGACTAGTTTTTTAAATCAAAAGAAACTCGTCACGCCGACATGATGAGTTCCGTGGTTTTTTTAATTTGGTAAACTATGCAAATAGTCCCATTTGTTTTTAGTTTGTCCGACTTTGGTCACCAATTTAAAAATTAAGGGTACATGGTCTCTTCTTCTTCTTCTTCTTCTTCTTTTCTTCTTCTTCTTCTTCTTCTTCTTCTTCTTTCTTCTTCTTCTTCTTCTTTTTTCTTCTTCTTCTTCTTCTTCTTCTTCTTCTTCTTCTTCTCTTTTCTTCTTCTTCTTCTTCTTCTTCTTCTTCTTCTCTTTTCTTCTTCTTCTTTCTTCTTCTTTTCTTCTTCTTCTTTTCTTCTTCTTCTTCTTCTCTTCTTTTTCTTATTTTCTTCTCTTCTTCTTTCTCTCTTTTTTTTCTTCTCTTCTTTCTCTTTTCTTCTCTTCTTCTTCTTCTTCTTCTCTTCTTCTTCTTTTCCTTCTTTCTTCTTCTTCTCTTCTTCTTTCTTCTCTTCTTCTTCTTCTTCTTCTCTCTTCTTCTTCTTTTCTTCTTCTTCTTCTTCTTCTTCTTTTCTTCTTCTTCTTCTTCTTCTTCTTCTTTTCTTCTTCTTCTTTTCTTCTTCTTCTTTTCTTCTTCTTCTTTCTTCTTCTTCTTCTTCTTCTTCTTCTTCTTCTTTCTTCTTCTTCTTCTTTCTCTTTTCTTTCTTCTTCTCTTCTTCTTCTCTTCTCGTCTCTTCTTTTTCTCTTCTCTTCTTCTTCTTCTTCTTCTCTTCTTCTTCTTCTTCTTCTTCTTCTTCTTCTTCTTCTCTTCTTCTTCTTCTTCTTCTTCTTTCTTCTAAAACAATGGAGCTTAATATATGAAAATTCAAAAGAAACAAATTAATATATGAAAATTCAAAAGAAACAAAAAAAAAGTCCCCACAAGCTTCATTTGTTTTTATCAAAACAGAAAGTCCACTTTAACCCCCCCCCCACAAGTTTATGTTATGAGCAATCTTCTTCTTAACGGTTTGTTGCACGAAGCCAACGACGATGATAAAAGAGACACCGTGCATTTATGGGCTCTAAAGCCGATGATGACCTACGGTGAAGAAATAGTCGTTATTGTTGATTCTTGTAGTGGCCTCTTGCTTGTACTTAGGGGCTGTTTGTTTGCTTCTTAATGGAACCATTCAGCGCTGAATGCTGAACCGTTCAACATTTAGTGCGTTTGTTTCGCACCTCTAAATGATTCAGTTCTGACTGATTTAGCAAAACAGTGTTGAATGATTCAGCACAGAAGTACATTCTGAATCATTCAGAGCCAGTTATCAAACAACATGTCACATTCATAGCCTCTGAATCATTCAGCATTTGAATCATTCAGCTCTTAATCATTCTGAAGTAAACAAAAGCCCCTTAGTGTTCTTGTATGATAGCTTTATTGTGACGTTTGCAAAAATGACAGTCAAAGTGCTTAGTTTACTGTGAGTCAAAGTGCTTAGTTTATTGTGAAAAAGCATGCTAGCCATGGATGTTGCAGTGGAAACCTAAAAATATGAGCTCTTTGAATTTGAAAAATCCCACAAACCTATTCAAAATTCAAATATATATATATATATGAAAAGACTCATCCATGCTTGATTAAAATGATTATATCATGAAAATGAATGAAACCAAGTTTTATTACAAGGAATGGTATTTGAAACTGACTATGAATTGTTTTGGCTTCCAACAGGCTGTCGGATTCTTTGTATTTGTATAACTTACAATAAACAACTCCATGAACCGCCACAAAGCACCTTGTAAACTTTGGGTAAATTGGTGGCTTAGTTGAGGGAGGTGATAGTGGTGAGTAGTTGGGTGTTTTGGGTGGAGGAGCGTAAGTTAATGCCTTGGCCGGTGTATTGGATGGAAAAAGATAAGTTGGTGGCTTGGGTGGCGCTTTTGCGTGGAGGAGCACAAGTTGATGGTTTAGCAGGTGTCTTGGGTGGTGGAGGGGGATAAACAAGTGGATGGGTTGGGGGCTGAGGGTGATGGTGGTGGTGGTGGTTCGGTGAATGAGTAGGTGGCATTATAGAAGAAGAATACACGAGTATTAAGAATTTTTTAATAAAATTTTATTCCACGTCACTTGCAGCTAGTGAGTTATGTAGATTTATTAATTATTTTTAATACTTCCGTTAAACGGTTAACGGAACAGTTAAGGGACTAAAATCGAACGGACCGATAACGTTAAGGACCATGTACCCTTAATTTTTAAATTAGTGACCAAAGTCGGACAAACTGAACCCCCAAAACATGATACGGTTTTTCATGGAAACATTCGATTTTCAAAATATTATTTATGAAAACAATAAAATTTAAATATAATTTATAAAAAATGAAGATCTTTTATTTTAGATCTTTTACTTACAAATTTGGATTCGTATGTAAATTAGATAAAATTCAATCCACATGTAAACAATTTAAAATAAAATAATATTTGGTAATGTTTAACAAATTTAACTCTTAATCTATAACATGATGTAACATGTACAAGTAGAAATTCATATTGTAAATATATCAATATATCACATC